ATGTGTTATAGAAATAAAATAAAGTACATTTAAAGAAGTAAAGGAAATAGTATTTTAATGAATGAGCAGATAGAAAATCTCAGCAAAGTAATGGAAGCTATAGGAGAGAACTAAGTGCAAATTCTTGAAATGATAAAATAATTGAGTCAAAACTTCTATGGATTGTCTTAAAAGAAAATTGAAAAACAGAAGATTACAGGGAAAAAAAGAAGAATAGGGGGAATGACTTTTTTAAATTAATGGAAATTCAAGGATTTTGAAGCTGATAAGTTGCTTAAGAATAAGGTAAGGAAAGGAAAGAGAATGGAGAAGAAAAAATAATAGAAAGAGCAAGGTCTTCAATGATGGGAAGATATTGACTTTAGATTCACAAAGTCAATGAACCTGCAAATGGGATAAATACAAAGTAAATATTCATCTGTTAACTCTATTCATCATATTCATCTGTCAACTCTACAATAAAATTATTGAAAATGAAAGATACAGAAAAGAATCTTGAAAAATAGGGGAAAACACGAATGGTGGCCGAGTTGTCATAAGGAACAATGGAAGCCAGAAATCAATGGAATGACATTTCTAAAGTGTAGAATGGTAAGTGGTAACCTAGAAATTTATAAACAGTGGAAACATACTTTAAAAGCAAAATAAAACTGTACTCCCAATTGTGACCAAGGAGAAGTCAAAGGGACTAAATTTATTCTCCAACCTGAAATAATAAAATAAAATATATTCAAGAGTTTTCAAGATATTTGGACACTACACAATGAATGACAGTGATTACTGAAAGATGGAAAACAAATGAGGTTATCTCTACAATTGCTTCAGCTTTCTTCCTGAAACTTGCAGTGTTGAGATGATAAAGCTTACAGTATGAGAAGGTCAAGAAAACTAAAGTTCACAAACTGCGGTGAAGAGCAAAGATCTGCATAAGGTCCCCATGGAGTTTTCAAATGAGTATTCATCAGTGTATGATATGAGAAAAGTGTGAAATGCCAAGAAAGGATCCACCTGAAAAATACCATATTTTCTTTTTATATAATTATTAATTCTCAGAGACCAAACATGACTAGTAATAGTACTTATTCCTAGCAGCCAGATTGGAAAACATTCTAAATTTTTTATTGGCACACAACGTTGTACATATTGATGGGATTTATTGTTATATATACATGCATGTATACAATATAACAATATAATTTGGCCAATATCACTCCCCAACACTTCTCCCCTCCCTCCCTGTCTTCCACCCTTGGTCCCTTTCCTCTACTGATCTCTCTTGATTTTTAGGAGATCCACCACTACCTTTGTTTTCCTGTTCCTCTCAGCTTCCACATATGAGAGAAAACATACAGTCCTTAACTTTCTTCTGAGTTTGACTTATTTCACTTAATGTGATGCTCTGTAGTTCCATTCATTTTCCTGTAAATGGTATAATTTAATTTTTCTTTATGGTTGAATAAAATGCCATTGTGTATATATACCATATTTTCTTTTTATATATAGATTTTTAGTTGTATGTGGACACAATACCTTTATTTTATTTATTTTTAAGTGGTGCTGAGGATCAAACCCAGTGCCTCACACATGCTAGGCAAGTGCTCTACCACTGAGCCACAACCCCAGGCCCCATATTTTCTTTATCTATTCATCCATTGATGGACACCTTGGCTGGTTCCATAGTTTGGCCATTGTGAATTGTTCCACTCTAAACATGGGCATGCATGTATCACTGTAGTATGACGACTTTATTCTTCAGGGTAAATACTGAGAAATGGTATAGATGGGTCATAAAATGGTTTCATGCCTAGTCTTTTGAGGAGACTCCATACTGATTTCCATAGTGATTGTACTAATTTACAGACCCACCAAGAGTGTAAGAGTATTTTCCCCCATCTTTTCAGCATTTATTATTATTTACATTCTTGAGGACTGCCATTATGATGGGTATGCGATGAAACCTCAGTGTAGTATTGATTTGCATTTCCCCAATTGCTAGTGATGATGAATATTTTTTCATGTATTTATTGGCCATTTGTATTTCTTCTTTTGACAAGTGTCTACTTAGTTTTCCATTTATTAATTGGGTTATTTTTTAGCATAAAGATTTTTGAGCTCTCATATATTCTAGATATTAATCCTCTGTCAGAAGAGGAGAGAGCAAAGATTTTCTCCCATTCTGTGGTTTCTCTTCAAACTCGTAATTCCTTTATTGTACAGAAGCCTTTTAATTTGACACTGTCCAATTTATTAATTCTTGGCATCATTATTTCCTGAACTTTAAGGGTCCTATAGAGAAAGTCATTGCCTATGTCTAAAAGCTGGAGTGTTGGGCTGGGGATGTGGCTCAAGCGGTAGCATGCTCGCCTGGCATGCGTGCGGCCCGGGTTCGATCCTCAGCACCACATACAGACAAAGATGTTGTGTCCGCCAAATACTAAAAAAAATAAAATAAAAGCTGGAGTGTTGAGCCTAGGTTTTCTTCTAGAGTTTCATGGTTTATGATATAATTCTGAGGTCTTTAATCCATTTTGAGTTGCTTTTTGTGCAGGATGATATAAGGCTCTAGTTTCAATCTTCTACATATGGATAACCAGTTCTTGTTGCTATAGCTCTGAAGTATAATTTGAAGTAATGTATTGTGATGCCTCCCAACATTGCTTTTTTGACTGAAAATTGCTTTGGCTATTCTGGGTCTTTTATTCTTTCAAATAAATTTTAGGACTATGTTTTCTAGTTCTGTATAGAATTGGTGACTAATATTTTAACTATATTTGTATGGCTGATAAAGTTAAAGAAATATTGAGCAAATTAAGTAGAGACCTGGAAGATTTTTTATATATACATTTTTTAGAGACAGAAACTATAATATCTGAGATGAAAAATTACAATGGAAGTAATAAAATCAGATTAGAAGTTGCAGGAAAAAAAGATTAGTGAACTTGAAAAGGTTCGTGAATAGAAACTGTCTGGAATGAAACACAGAAGGGGAACAACTGGATAAAAAATTAATAGTGTCATTGAGCTTGGGAAAACTTCATATGCCCTACAATATACAAAATTCTAGTCTCCTGAGAAGCAGCAGGAAGGACAGGAAAAAAAAATAATGGCTGATTATTTTCCAAATGTAGTAAACACTATAATCTCACAGTTCCAAGAAACCAAGAACAAGCAGAAAATGACATAACAGCATACCATAATCAAATGGTTGAAAATCAGCCTGCTGATATTTATTCTGGCACCAACAGTTATTGCCAGCAATGGGTGATTTGGTTTTTACTCCCACATTTTGGGTTCTAACAGCATGATTACCCCTCAGAGATAGCCAGCATCAACCGGCCAGAATTCCCTCCTCACAGGTTTCTCTGAGCTGCACAGGGAGGCTCTCCTCCATTCTCCTGAGATACCAGCACCTACCAAACAGCACCTCCTCTTCATGGATCCAAGTTTAAGCTTCTTCTCATGCCTCCCTTCTTCTAAATGCTGGTAAAAATAACCCCTTCCCTTTGCTCCCAATCCCTAGGAGTGGGATCTGCTTCATATTTAAGCTTTCTGTGATATCTCTATGTTCTGTTTTTACCTATTCAAACAATTCTTCATATTAAATGCCCTGTTACATATTTTCAAATTACAAAGGATGATTGTATCACATTAGAAAAAGTCATAAACTTCTTAATTGTTGTTGTATGGAACTTCAAACACACATAGAAGAGTAATTACAGAGGCTAAGAGGCCAGAAGTTGGAATGAGCTGGAACTGACTTATTCTCTCAGCTTCAAATCCACACCTTTATTATCATCTTCATGATTTGGGGCTTTACCAGGTGAATGCCTGATGTTCTGCTCAAAGAATATGCTACAGGGAGAGAGAAGGCAGGAAGGGGAACAAGGGACTTCTCATTCCTGTTTTAATTCCTCTTTTTTCCAACATCACCTTCACATTAGGTCTTCACTCAATAAGTGGCAAATGATTTGCAGCAGCAGTAGTTGGTTCAGGCTTCCAGTTTGTCTTCCCCCTGCTCCAGAAATAGCTTCAATAGAGAGCCAAGCAGAAGCCTGGTGGTATGCTCTCCTCAGAAGTCCACATCCCGAATCATGGATTTCCTAAACTATTTCCTCAATGTGGGAATACTTTTGAATTCCTGAGGCAAGAGCATTTATGCTGTGCCTCCTTTCAGGTTTTTGATGTTTTGGGGGTTTTTTGTTTTGTTTTGTTGTTTTTTGCCAGCTTTGTGGGCTCTTTACCCAAACTTTTCAAGTACTGGTGATCAAATTCCTCAGATGTCTGGATCCAAACTATACAGTGCCTCTCCCCCAAACTTTTAAATTCCATCAATGTCTCCTCTTTGTCCCCACAACTCTAAGTGAGGTAACTGCTTCCTGCAAGTATTACCTCTTTGATGTACTCCTTTGGTATTTTATAACATAAAGGCATACATTGCACCAATTATTTTATTATCAAGTATGCTACTTTTCACTCAAGTTATCCTAATGTTTTAATCTTATTATCTTCTGTCTTATCCCCATGTTTTCAGATAAATTCAATAAGCCTAAGGTATTTCTTAAGCTTTTTAATTTGTCATCTTCATGTTCGCTCTACTTACTATAATGGTCAATAGGATAGAGAGGCAAAGATGGGAGATGAAAGACCCCCACGTCCTTCATGTCCTGGGGAAGTTCAGCCTCTAAGAAGCTATAGCTTCTCATTTATAAAAATACAACTCACAGGGTTATTGTAGATATTGAGTCAAGAATTTACGTGGATGCATTTATCAATTGTAAGAACAGTGTAAATAAATTTTCACCACTGTTACCAACTGTGACTAGATGGTAAAAGGTAAAGATGAAAGGTAAACAATGGAAGAAAATATTCTGGAGCAATTTCTACCCACTCAGAAATAGACTAGAACCTAGTTGTTGGTTTTCAAGTGACCAGTATTTTTTCCCGTTCCATTCTATCTAATTCTCAGTCTATAGAGCAAAGATCGTTTTTGCCAGTAAGACAGAAGCCATTTGTTAACATACAGCAAATACTGTTTATTGTAGACTTTCCAGCTGACTCATGTGAAAAAGGCACTATGAAAAATTAATGAATCTAGATAATCTCTCTAAATGAATTTATGTTAAAATATACAACATTCTTACATAACATCTGCTTTATATATGTGAAATAATATAACATTTAATGACAAAAATCGTGTTTCCAAAAATAACATTTGTTGAAGGTTAGGTATCTTTCTTTTCTTTATCTAGAATCTTTCACAAGATTAAAGTATGTGTAAATTATATGTTTCTTATCACCAGAAAGACTTGACACAGACAATCACATGAAATGGCCCCAATATCCTTGAACTACTTATATCAATATTCATAACTGAGGCCTTCATTAGGCAAAATACTGTAATGCACACCAATGCAGGCTACTTCCTGTGATAGATTTTGAATGTATATGACCTCTTTCCACTTGTGCTTTCTTATATATAAGAACACAGTATACATAATAAGCAGAATATAAACTAAATCAAAATACAAGCTATGCAAGGAATTGCAATCAACAGAGCCATGACAAATAAAATGTTTTGAGAATGCTCCAGAGGTTGTTATTTGCATATCTGAGGACTGACTATACAGTTCATTTGATGCTTTAATTTTTAAACAGTTGGCATTAAGAACTTAAAATAAATCTAAATATTCTATCTTTGAGCATGTCAGACGAGAGACCCAAGAATGCAGAAGCCAGCCTCAGGGAGCTACACCATGCCTGACACCACATGTACAAAAAAATGAATTGTTTAGATTTTGAATCATGGACAATAAATTCCTACTTATACAATATGATGGGTGAAATAATTAATTGTTAAAGTAGGAAAAATATTCCCAAAGGTAAAAAAAAAAATTCAGTCTAAAATGTGTCAGTTTTAATAAAAATAATGGGCCCAAAAGCAATTCCTCTGCTTACTCAGGTATGGTTTTTTATGGCAATAAATTATGTATACCTAGAAAAACAGATCTGACATTCCCTTCAAGGCTTCTTAAAACAAAGCATGTTGTAGTAATGCCAAGAAAGATGGAGTTTAAAAACAAACAACAAATTAGTGACTGCTTCCTTCATCAAAAGATTCCACTCCCGAGTCACTAGCAGCAGCACTGATCTTTTCCTGTCGTCTTCGCATGATTTCTTGCAACTCAGAGCTGCCATTGCTATCCTGAAAAACAAACATGGTTCAGACAAGATCGTTACTGGTTTGTCTCAGCTGTGGGGCATGTAACAAAGCGCCTCAGGGTGAAAGTCAACTGTGGTTTCTTGTAGTGTTTCTTCAGGAAAACTAAAGGCTTCCCTGCACATAGGTGAAGCTTCTGGAGCCCACCAATATCACATTAAAACTGCCTGTCGATGGAATTCTGTCCCCATGTTTCATTTCAACATGATAGAGAAGGACCAATAGTGCACATCAAGTGCTCTGACTCTGAGAGAGAGGTGGGGGGGGGGGGGGGGGGAGGAGATATGTGTATAATAAGTACAATAACAGGGTAAATTATCAAAGAACCCTTTCTGAGTTAAACAAGACATGGTTGCATCTTCCTTTAAGGAGACATTATTGTTGTTGTTATTGTAGTACTGGAAACTGAACTGAGGGTAGCTTTACCACTGAGCTATATCCCCAGTCTTTTTTATTTTTGGAGACAGGGTCTTGCTAAGTTGCTGAAATAGGCCTCAAATTTGGATCCTCCTGCCTTAGCCTCCCGAGGTGCTGGGACTACAGGTATGTACCACTGTGCCCAGCTCCTCTGGATTTTAAAACAGACCAGAGTGGGCCCAGAACACACCAAGTTTCCCTTTATACCATTCTGACCCTCTAGGAAAATGCTGACTTTTCTCATCCCCAAGCCCTACCTGCTCTCCTTATTTTCTCATAAACAGAAGTCTCTGCCAACACAGGTGAGAAATCTAAAAGGTGAATGAGATTCAGGAGAAGGGTGAGGTGAAATGGTGGTTGAGGAACACGAGAAACCTCAAGTGGTCAGCCTCTGCCTCAATTCACACTCAGGGGAAGGGACAGCAAGAGAACACAATGAAGTGGCGGGAGGGCAAGCGACAATGACAGGCAGCTCTGGAATGCAGGAGTTCAGAATCTCAGGCACACAGATTTTTCTAATAGATATATTAGAAAAGGATACTTGAGAAGCAATTTATACATTCTTTTTAAAAAATTAAAATGTAAGCTAGGCACAATAGTGCACACCTGTAATCCCAGTGGCTCTGGACGCTGAGGCAGGAGAATCTCAAGTTCAAAGCCAGCCATAGCAAATCAGTGAAGCACTAAACAACTTAGCTAGACCCCGTCTCAAAATAAAAAAATAAAAAGGGCTGGAGGTGTGTGACTCAGTGGTTAAGCACCCCTGAGTTCAATCCCTGGTACAAAAAAAAAAAAATGTATAGTCACAACATTGCTTGAGAAAAGACATAATTCTTATTTGTGTTCAACATACAAAAAGCCATCATCATGTCCTGATAAAGATACCCCAAGATCAATGTCTTACTTCCAAGGGACATATAATAGCTCTTGATTAAGAATACTTATAGGATTATATGCATGTAACTATTGTATACTGAGTTACTTAACTACTGAATTTATATAATATACCTGCTAGAAATAATTCTGTATCAATTTTATGCCAAAGCCTATATCTTTGAGTCCAAGCATAATTTTCATGAGGTAGTAAGAGCTATGAGATGTAACCATTGGAAACCAGTACCTTTACATAGCCTATTTTAAGTAGAGGAGGATATGAGAATCTTAAGTAAATCCAGTCTAGAAAACGTGTACTCTCCTTTCATACAGACAACTATGACTAAATAATTACTACTCAGGGCTCACTGTTTTCAATGATCTCTAGTTAATATCCTACCCCAATTATTTAGAAGTAAAACCAGGTTTAAGACACACAGCTAGGGTTTTAAGACTTTATAACCTACTAAGACCTCCAAACTAAATATTAAGAACAGGCAAAAGAGTTCTGGCCTCTTAAGGCATTTATGAACTCAGATGTGATTTTTTTTTATTTTGGCAAAATTAAAATTTCTATAGCAGTAGTTAATGCAATAAAATGAGATTATGCTTTTTGTTCAATATCCAAAAGTATATGCTCAAGCTTTGTTATGTGAATATTTATAATAAACTAATCTGCTTAAAAATGGTCATTGATGATCTCCTGTAAAATTTACAAAAGCTGAATCAAATTTAACTCGGCTTTGTAAGAAAGGAAAATTGGCCAATGTGGACCAGGATAGTTGTTTCCAGAGCTTTCAATTTGCAGTCCATACTTTTGACTAATGCAGGAAAAAACACACACACACACACACGCACACACACACACACACACTTTGGATTGTCAAGTCTTACCTCTAATGCAGCTTTTTGTACAGTGATTTGGCTAAAGACTCTGGCCCCTTCAGGGCACACTGTTCTCAATTCATCTTTGTTGAGAGAGAAAAGTTGCGCACCATTTAATACTCCAAGACTATTGACAGTCCTGAAAAACAAAAATTTTAAAATCAGAGCATTAAAAATATTGCCTAGATAGAAATAAGAGACAAAATCTTCTGTTTCTGCTAGTAATGTTTTCGTAAGGGTTTCATACATGGAAACTCTTATGAAATGTCACTTCAGTGCTTGGTTAAAGGCAATGACAAGGGACTTTCATGATCAAGACCCAGAGGCTATACAAGATGACCGATTGTGAAACATCAAAAAGGAGCCAATTGGGTTTAGTTTTCCTATTGTTTAATATAAATTCCTTAAAATTGGGTGTTTCATAGCAGGAATAGACAATTTTCAAGTTATGAGGCAATTGACTAACCATTATTGCACCTTTCAGTTGTGCTGAATGAGTTTATAAAATGTCAGGCTTCTTAGAATATGTATTATTCAAGGATTTCATTGTATCAAATAGACATAAAGGGTCTTTAGACTTTTAGATTTTTAGATACACAGGACCTTTATTATGGGCTTAACTAAAAGAAAAGCACTATTAAGATTTTAATTGATGACAGGTAGTCAACAGCTTTATTATTTTCCTGAGACACTATACCCTGCAGCAGGAGGAAACCTATGCTACATGTCATGTCTACATGATCTGAGGAGTCTCCTTAAGATCACAGTCCTACCCTAGTGTAACCCGATGAGAGAGAAAGAGAGCTACTACCAGAGTTCCCAGGGGCTGACAGCTGTGTAAGGGACCAATGATGAACAGATTCTACCAACAAGAAAAAGGTGGCATCAACTCATAGTTATTTCTACTGTGTCTCCCATGGTTTTTCCTTTTTAGCTATGTATAGTCACTTCCTGAGTATGGAACAAAGAATGCAGTCTGGGCTTTTATATTTTTTAGCCATTTGTGAAATGTAAATGACTCAATTGAAAATAAAGCATGCTTCACACAAAAAACTACAAAGGATCCAGAGACAGACTTACACAGGGTTAAACCCTTTTGACTGTAACCATGTCTTCACCTCCTCGGGTGTGGAATCATAGGTGATGTTGACAACTGGCACATTCTGCCGTGGCACGTGGAACTTCTTCTGAGCAGCACTCCGACCAATGGTCAGCCTGTGGATGAGCTCATCCTGTACTTCCTCCATCTGAGACTTCCTTCCTAGACACCAATAGGAAGCAGGGCATGTTTGAAAATCCCCTACATTATGTCCCTCTTTCTAGACCCCAATCCCAATGATCCTTTGACCCCAATAGGTTCACAATCTAGGGCTCCGACCATCTTCCCAGTATAAGCTCAATTACCAAAATAACTCCCTGGCTCCTCTCCTCTCTTCATTGTACTCGTCTGGGTAAAGCCTCAGCCCCAGTGAATCCACCATCCTGCATACTCTAGGCCTGCACAGCTGTCAAATGGTCCCATGTTAAATTCACCACTATTACAGTGGTGACCCTGAAGGATCTGCTCAAATCCCTAACAGTGACACTACACTTCCTTAGAGCTTCTCAATTAGGGACAGTTTCAATGCCAGGGACATTCGGCAATGCCTAGAAATATTTTTTGGTTGTCACAGCCGAGGGTAGTAAAGAGGGAAGGCTGCCACAGCCACACAGTGGCTGGAGGCCTGCAGTATGCAAAACATCCTCCAGGGCATAAGGCAGCCTCCCACCACAGGGCCCAGGTTGAGAAACCTCACCTAGACCACATATAGCTACACACTGACCCAATTATTAATATCTGACCCAATTACTTAATATCTTCTACTTTCTCTGTAAACATCCAGCTCTATTCCCTAATCCTCACCCTCAAGATCTCACATCCTAATTTCTTTTGCGCGGGGGGGTGGGGGGGTGTGCTGGGGAGACACCAGGGATTGAACTCAGGGGCACTCAGACACTGAGCCACATCCTCAGCCCTATTTTGTATTTTATTTAGAGACAGGGTCTCACTGAGTTGCTTAGCGCCTCACTTTTGCTGAGGCTGGCTTTGAACTCAAGATCCTCCTGCCTCAGCCTCCCAAGCTGCTGGAATTACAGGCATGCACCACCATACCTGGCTCACATCCTAATTTCTGAATGAAATAATGGAGTTAGAAGAGAACATCCACATGCTCCCCTAGTGGTTCTTCTTCCTCCCCACATACCTTTGCCCATTATATTACAGATGAACTGTGTCCAGGCTTCAAGGCCAGCCCATCTATGTACACCAGGCACCAAATTCTCTGCCTATTCAAATACTTTGGCATCAATTTCCCTCTTTACTAAATCATCAGTTCATTTAAATATGCTACAATTTACCTATTATTTCTCTTACCTTTAGATAAGTCTTTACTAGGTCACCTCCTAACTGCCATCCGTTTCTCTGCTCCCTTGTAAGCAAAATTCCATGAAGCATCACCTACTTTAGCTGAATCCATTCCTATTTTTCCATTTTCTTAGATTCATTGCAATTCAATTCCTCTCTCTACTACACTTTGTTAAACTCGTGGCCAATTCCTTCCTAGCCATAATCTCATTTAACCTGTCAGCAAAGTTTGAAGCCAGAGATTCCTCCTTGAAACACTTTCATCTTGGGGTCTCCAGGACTCCTCACTCTCTTGATTTTCTTGATTTTCTCCTGCCTTCCTGGTAACTCCTTTTCAGTATCTTCCTCTGAATGGTCTCATCTCTGAAACTTAGTAATGTTAAAGTACACCAGGAAAAAAACTGTGCACCTCTTCTCTGCCTATACACACTCCATCAATGATCACTGTGCCTTATCTCATTTAAAAGCTGATGACTACCAAACTATTGCTCCAGTTGTTATGGTTTAAATATGAGCCCCCACGAAAGCTCATTTGTTAGACAATGCAAGGACTTTCAGAGGTGAAATGACTGTTATGAGAGCCTTAATCTAATCAATGAATTAATCCACTGATATGGATTAATTAGGTGCTAACTGTAGACAGGTAGGGTATGGCTGGCAGTATGTCACTGGGGGAGTGCCTTTGAGGTTCATATTTTGTCCCTGGTGAGCAGAGCATTCTCTCTTTGCTTTATATTTTCCATTTCCTGAGCTACCTTCCTCCTCCACACTCTTCTGCCATGATCTTCTGCCTCTCCTTGAGCCCAGAGCAATGGAGTTGGCTATCTATGGACTAAGACCTCTGACATTGAGAACACCAAATAAATTTTTCCTTCTCTAAAATTGTTTTTGTCAGTTCTTTTGACCATGGTAGTGAAAAAGCTGACTAAAACACCAGTCCTGACTGCTACTCAGAAGTCTAGATTCACATGTTAACTTGCCTACTTAATATATTCATTGGATATCTATTAACTCTCTGAAATATACCTCAAATATAACTTTTCATACCTAAATTCTTAATTTTCTTCCTGAAGTTTTCTTTTATTAAGATTCTGGACTTATTTTTAGACTTCCCAGCTCAGTAAATTCTATCTTTCCATTTTTTCTCTAGTTAAAAATACCATGGAATTACACTACACCTAATCTATCCTAATCTCTGCCTATTAGAATCAAGTCTAATCTACTCCATTCCCTGATCCTCACCCTCATATCTCACTTAATGGTAGGAATATCCTGTTAGTACCACATCAAAATATATTCTAAATCCAGAGCTGGGGCTGTGGCTCTGTGGTAGAGCGCATGCCTAGCATGTGTGAGGCACTGGGTTTGGTTCTCAGCACCGCATATAAATAAATAAAATAAAGGTCCATCAACAAATAAAAAGAATTAAACACACACACACTTCAAATCTAGTGATGGAGATGTAGCTTAGTGGCAGAACACTTGTCTAGTATGTGTTAGGCCCTGGGTTCAATTTCTAGTATTGCCAAAATAAAAATAAATGTATCTATCTAGATAGACAAGAAAGATGGATAATCTCCCAAATCCAAATAATCTAGATAGACAAGAAAGATGGATAATCTCCCAAATCCAAATAATTCTCCTGGATCCCCTACTCTAGTTCACAATGGCTTCCCTGGTGCTTTCAAATTTAAAGACCATTCCAGCCTCCTTAGCCTGAAATGTTGTCCCCTAAATATCCAGAGGGTTCCTCTTTCCTCTCCTTCAGATATCCCCTGAGCTATTTAAACTATAGTCACTCCCTCCCCCAACAGCATTCTCCATTTACAGAGCTTATATTATTCTCCAAACTAACACTCTAATATTCTCTTAATATGTCACTGTATATCTATCTCCTTTCATTAAAATGTAAGCCTGAGGACAAAAAGAGATTTTCCCCTGTTTTGTTTAATTCTATATCCCCAGTACTTGGGAAATGTAGTGATTCCATAAATGCTTACTGAACAAATTAATGAAGGAGGCATTCTCCTGAATTTTTCACTGTGAGAGACCTTGCAAATCATCATATACAAACCCCTTAAATAACCAGATGAAAAAATGGAGGCCAAACAGAGAAATGATCTGTCCAAGTCACATTGTTAATTAGAAATAGAATTTAGCTAGAACTACATGTTCTGACTTTCAGCTCAGGCCTGTTTTATGGTCCGAGTCATTGAGACTACCTTTGATTAATTTCACTATTGTCCTTCTCCCCCAGCCATTTATGCTTCTGGGGAAGATGCATGGTTGAACTACCACTTTGAGGAAGCCAGGGAAAAAAGCAAGTATAAGAATGTGAATAATGTGTTTGCGTGTGCATTTTTAAAGTGTGTGTATACATACATCAGTACATTAAGTTATGTGTATATTGTTTCAAGAATTAAAAACAAAAATGTCACAATAAACAATCTGTATATTGTTTTCAAAATGTTAAAAACAAAATTACTGATACAGTAATCCAATTAACTAATCAACTTGGGAAGTGGCAATGATCTTCTCCCTCAGGGAGGTTTTTGTGACCATTATTACATTGTTGTTCTACACCTTTTTCTTTTCTTTTCAGGTAAAATGTTTTAGAAAGTGTTTGGTATCCCTGTAAAATAAGGGAAAAGTGTGAAATAATCAGATAGCATTATTTCAGTCTAATTTTTTAATACCTTGAGTATTTAGGAAACCTTTTTTAGAAGTCAAAAGAAGAAAAGAGGGAGGGAAGAGGCAAAAAGAAAAAAAGGAAGAAGTACAAGATAAAGTGAGAAAAAATACTATTGATTATTGTATTTAAGTATCACATCACCTACATTTCATTAAGCGATTCTTAAATTACTACATTATACTATATGAGTCTGTCTCAAAGGAATTTTTAAAAAGTACCACCACACCAAAGGATTTATTTTCTCACACACTGACTTAGCCACCACACTGAGGATCACCAGTCAGTGGTATAGTCTTCTACCAGGAAATAAAAAAGCCTCTTTCTAACATGCTCCTGGCTTTTGGTTTCCATTTTCAATGTTCAAGCACACAACAAATCAGACTAACTTCACACCTCTTTCTAAAATAACAGTTCTGATTACAACAGATTAAACTCAAATAGAAGGACTAACATTTCAATAGTGATAAGTGTAGGATCTTTGTGGATTCTGCGATAAACCAATTCAAACAGTTTATATGACACATGGCTCCCAGCAGCTACTCTAAATAGGTAACACACAGTTACACAGCAGCAAAGGGGATATTAACTGTGGCCATTTATTGTATTTTAAAAATAGGCATGATGGTTCTTGTCCACCATGACTATTTGATAACATTTTTATGGGTATTCACTTTCTAGTTCCTCCTATTTTATTTTTATGAGAGGTTTAGGCAAAAAGCAGAGAATGTACATAACATAAATGGGCATTTTTGAGACAAATCTGGCTCTCCAATATATACACAATTAAACATGTCTGTTTGATTCTAAATGATTGTTACCAAGTTCTAACATTCATTGAGAGAAAAAAATGTCCTCGAAGGAGTGATATTAATAAATAAATAAGTTTTATAAAAAATTACTTTTGTTTAATGTCAAACTATACCTTTGAGATACTTTTAAAAAGAACTTCACAAAAGTAATTACAAATTTTATTATTTTAAGGAAATAAGTGTATGTATTAATTTGGGGAGAGATGTTTATATTTTATATGCCAATATCATCCTTTTACTTATGAAAAACAGACTTGAAAATGATGAGTTACAATTATCAAGAGAGTTCTCTATCTTTAAAATATTCTAACTATGCCTCTTTCCCGTTAGGTTATTCTTAGCTTCTTAGAGTTGGACAAAGAACAAACTGTTCCAATCCACATACTGTTCCAAATGGGGACTGGATGCTTATGAACTCTGACCGTAGGCCTGGAAAAAAGAGGACCATGGTGTCAAAGATTATTGTGCTGACCTAACAAAGGAGGGAAATGTCACAAACTTGTGGGAAGAATGAAGAAAGGAACAGTCATTTCCTTAAGAGGAAAGTTTTCCTTAGGGAAATCAATAAAATATTTATAGAACTTTCTCATCTCAAGGCCCAGGCTGTGGCTCCGTGGTAGTGCACCTGCCTGGCATGTGTGAGGCACTGGGTTCGATTCTCAGCACTGCATATAAATAAATGAATGAATGAATGAATGAGTGAATGAATGAATAAATAAATAAATAAATAAATGAAAATAATAAAGATCTAAAATAATAGAAAATAATCAAAGCAACCCTAAAAATATTTTAAAAAATAAGAACTTTTTCATCTTAAAATTATTACTTTAGTGTCTGTAAAAACCATCTTTTTGAAAAATCTACATGTAGCACATTATATTTTATTATGGTTATTCACACTTACACATAGTCATACACACAGTTGTTTTTGCTGAACAGAAAGAGCTAAATGCTTTTGTAAAATTTCATTTTTCCTTTGGTTTTCTGGTAAGATTAAGATATGAAGAAGAAGGTATTTAAATCAGCTACACCCTGGGAGAGAAAGTAATATATAAAAGTAGGCTTGTGCTTATTGTACTTAACCAGAATTTCCAGAAGTTAAATAGTAATAGTTTTAGTTCTTTTTTAAATTGTTTCTATCAAGAATGATCACAACGGAGCCAGGCACAGTGGTGCACGCCTGTAATCCTAGGAACTCGGGAGGCTGAGGCTGATGGATTACATATTTGAAGCCAGCCTCACTCAGCAATTTAATGAGGCCCTGCCTCAAAAAAAAAAAAAAAAAGGTGGAGGCATGAAGCTGGGGATGTGGCTCAGAGATTAAGCACCCCTGAATTCAATCCCCAGTATAAAAAAAAAATCATAACAAAATAGATATGGCTAAAACTTACTAAAATGAAAAAAAAAAACAGTAGGGTGAAAAGGATTTGAGATTTTAGTTTTTAATATGAATCAGGTATCTGATCTCAGCAATAAAGTTAATATTTGAATACATGTGTCTGGAAGTCAGAAATGAGATCTGGTTTGAAGAATAAGCTGGGAATTGTTCTTTTTCCACAACATAAAGTATTTAAAAAAATGGAAACAGATTGAGCATTTATAGTAAAAGTATATTTATATATTCATATGGAGAAAAGAATACAAAACCTTCAGAGTCCCAAATTGACAGAACTGGATATATCCATTTTACACACACACACTCACATGCACACACTCATCTTTCTATATGAAATGTCTTCCTGGCCTCTAGTTTTCCAAGAGTTGTATATGACAAGTATAGGTAAATCAAAGTAATATTACAATTCTTTAAAAACAATTTGGATAAAAAATATTTTAAAAAAGAAAAAATGGTATACTACAAAGTAAAATAAAAACTACCTAAGGTTTACCTCAGTTTTCAAAACTTCCTGTTCTTTCCAATACTAACAAAGATAATTCAAAGTTGGCCAGATTGTCTTTTGTGTCTTTTCTGTCAGTTTATTTAAATTGGTTTTCATAGAAACCATTCTATAAAAAATCAAATTTACATTTATGAAAATATGAACCAAACCTGCAGTCTAAATTACATGAAATCTGAATTTGAAGGGTATGTCTGAGATCAGTTTTGGCAGACAATTATAGTAAGCTAGTGAGATTGTGCATTTGAGAATAACAGATATGAGAAGCAGAAAGAGGAAAACAATGATGACAGCAGAATATATCTACTGACTGCTTATAATATATCACATGGTGGTCAAATCAACCAGACTTTCAACCTCAGCATGGGTGATATTTTGGACCAAGTAATCCTGTTGAATGCAGCTGTCCTGTGCATTACAGAATGCTGCTAAACATCTCTGGCCTGTGCCCACTGATGTCAGTAAACATGCCCCAGATGATATCAAATGTCCGCAGGGGAAGGGAGAGAAAGGTGAAGTCACCTCTGGCTGAGAAGCACTGGACTAAACACTGAACATGCATTATCACTGAATTTGCACACTCATTCTATGAAAGCAGACACCATTATTTTTGTTCCCACTGTTCAGACACTAAAATACAAAGAGGATTATTCAATTGTTGAAGGTCACAGGGCCAGTTAGTGATGCTTTGGTATACAAATTCTAGTATATGGAACTCCTGAGCAAGCATTCAACTGCCACAACATTGGAATATGTGTAGAAATACTTACAGGAGAGAATGGAGGGAACTTCCTGCTAATCAGAGTTTTTAAACAATGAGAAACGAGGTGAAAAATCTCCTTAATCTATGAAGACCATGCAAGTATAAAGGAGTATAGTTCATATTTAATAATATCTAATAACAACGTAATCAAGAATAAACAATATTTTACTTAACAGTGCTTTTAATTCACAGAAGAAACTTTTTTGCCTCCCTGGAAACTTACGGTCCACGGGCACTTGTTTGTGTCTCTGGCTGTCCCGAACAATGCTACCACCACTGTCACTGGAGCTGCTGTTCTGACGTGTTACATTTGCTGGGACCTTTGACACAGGAACAGGTGCTGGTACAGAAGGTGGAAGGGGGACAGGAACAGGAGCTGGCGTTGGAGGTGGTGATGGGGCAGAAGGAGTATCAGCTGGTCTTGGACCATACTCCATCCTTTGTTTCTATAAAATGACAAATAATTAACTTGAAATTTTTGAAAAGTACCTATATTTAGAAAATAAATTATACATTGACAGGACATCATTTGCTATGTATTTTAAGCTTATTTGCAAGTCTATAATAATTTTGCATATGTGTATCATACATACATACACTTCTGATCCTATATAGTGAATAATAATTAAAAATAATCTTTTAAACATTCTACATATTTGTTCAAGGTCAACATGTAAGTGTAACAAGTAGCAATGATACACCAAGAGCAAACAGTATTATAATAATAAATGTCAAGAAAACTAAATTTGGTATTGGACTCATACAAGACCAGGGTAGATCAAATGACTTCTGGTTTTACAGAAAATAATTACTAGTGATTTCAATGGCACTGGAAATCAATGTCAATAGCATTAAGCATCACTTGCTCCTTATTTTAAATATATACTATAAGTAATTTATTAAGGAGAGGAGCAATGTTCTCATAAGGACTATGCTCTAAAATAAATAATTTTTAAAACATTGATCTCAATTATTTCAAGATATAACACTTTCTGCCACAATCTCCATGCTAATTTATTAAAATCAGAATTTTTCTTGTTAAAATGGGTATGTTGTAGGGTGGATGGTGTGAGGATATAGACATGGTCTTCAGGGCTGGGGTGCAGCTCAGTGGTAAGCTCTTGCCTGGGATACTCAAGGTCAAGGGTTTGATCCACAGCACCACACACACAAAATATATATTTCCAAACTATATTGTTATATTGTGTGCATGTATGACTATTTGACAATAAATTTCACCATTATGTACAACTACAATGTACCAAACAGAAATACTGAGGAAAAAAAAGTTATGGTCTTTGGTTAATGTGGATGGCTGCAACTCACAAACTATAAAAAAAAAAGGTATGTGGGGATTTGTATTTAAAAAGGCAGATGTGATTAAAAATAAACAATGCTTCTCAATAATTTTTAAACCATAAATATTGGCTATTATAAAACAGTATGTATATTCCTTACTAAAAAACACAACAGTTAAAATTTTAAATCTAAACAAAATAATTTTAACTAATAAATAACTGCACTTATAAGAGGCTCCAAATTCTCAAAAGGCACATCTTCTTTTTAGAATCAAAGAGAGTGATGCCTTGTAATTGAGGTATGATTTAAATACTGCGAGGTGGTACAATTTAATTATCCTAAAGTTTAGGATTAACATATAAAATGCATTAAGACCTTTTGGCAATCTGGTCCTTTGATTAGAACAGTATTTATTTCTACATTTTAAATTGGCCCAAATATAAGGTAACATTGATTTCAAGTGATTCCTCCTCCCCAACTTCCACAGAAATAAAAAAACAAACACACACACCACATTTCAAAATTAAAATTACTTAGAAAACAACATGCTGGCCTTCATCATGACTGCCTTCACAGCAAATGAACAGCACCTGTGGAACTGTGCGGGGAGGAGCCTGCGTTCTCCTGAGCCATCTCTTAAAAGCCAACACTTGCCAACCAGCAGGGTGGGGAAGGTGGGAAGGGAGTAAGGCAAGGATGGAAGCAGAACTGAAAGAGGGCATTATAATGCTGCCAAGTACTGGGGGAGACAGAGGGCAGGGAGGACACAGGCAGCGAGGGAAGAAGAAAAAGCGAAGAGGGGCAAGATTCTGCCCTGAAGTTAGATGGGACAGAAACAGATTGCTAATTAAACAGAATGCTAATTCCAGCATTCAAGACCTGAAGCATTTCTAAAATAGAAATAATATATTAGAATGCATTATTATTATTATTACTATACTCCACAAAATATTCTTCCTATATTTGGGCCAATAAGATATTTAAAGCAACCAAAATACTGCAAACATCACCAAAACTCAATACTTAGCACACACCAAAGTCACCCCAAAATATATTCAATGTTCCCTTGACCAGAATATTCTTTGCATGTAGTTTCATAAAGGGTTAATGAATTCTCACATTAATGCTTCAAAAGTGTCAGAGTTTATTGTTTATAAAGCTGAGATAAACCAAAAAGCGATAGTTCTGCATTGCACGATATGATTCATATTTTCTGCTTTCATAAAAAACAAGAACAGCCAGTGTTTTGCTATCCATCAAATAATGCTATGAGAAACTGAATACACTGTATGTTATTGTCACAATCGAGCCTAAAGACAGGCTCACCAAATGTTCTGTGCCTCACGTCATTATCTGTCACTGCTATATAACACAACTTCATTGGTATGATCTAACAGAACAAGAGATTTTTAAAAAAATAAAACCAATATAAAAATATCCAAGCCCATGTGAAATTTTTTCATGATTTATATCATATTTACTTGCATATTTTCCTTTTTCTCCTCCTGCCATGCTTCCAACTTCTGACATGAAAAGCAAGAAAAAGTGTCTTCCTTGTGCTAAGAAGGCAACCAAGACAGCCAATCTGTGAACTGGTTGGTAAGCCATGACATAGAGGAAGCAGAATCAGTATTGATTGCTGACATCACTTTTGTTTCCCTCCCTATCTTTTTCACTTTACCTACTGTTCAATTTCTGCCTCTTGGCTATTTCTGCTTGAAGGTTACAGAACTGATGACTTCAATGCGCCGTCAACTAATGGAAAGTCTTAGAGGGAAAAAGCACTCTGAGCTGTTTCCTTCTGTGCCAAAGGTTCTGGAGCTCCAAATACAGATGAAGTCTTGACCAACTCCTTCTAGTTGCCTGGGACTTTCTTAGTAATTAGCACTGAAAGTCTCGCATTCCCACAAACCCCTCAGCTTCAGACAAAGCTGTCAGCTTGGCAGCCTGGGGTGGACCCATATTTGCACCATGAACGGTCATTTCCTAACTCTTACCCATTTTTTCTCACAAATATAGAGTTCTGTTCAAGACAAAAATCTCTCCTTTTGTCTTTCTCCGGAAGAAGTTAGAATTACTAGACCTCAGGAAATTTACTCTCTTATTCATAATTAAGTTGGAATGAGTCACTTTGATTTAGCAATGAAAGCTGAGTGAGAATTCTCAAGGGTTAAAGTTATTGAGAGATGAACTCCTGATTCATGCAAGACACTGCTTCAGGAGGGAAATTATGCAAGTAACAAGCCCAAAAAAGCCATTAAAATTGAACTGTTTTTAAAATTTTAACCTTCTCTGAATTACACATTTTTCTCTAAACTTGGTCTCTCTGGAACTCTGCAATGAAAACTAAGCACAGCTGGAACATTTGGAGGGTGTTAAGTCCAGAGATTGAATCCAAAAAATTATATTAAAAGAATTGCCAGGAGGGAATGAGTGTGGGTTACCTCTGAGAGCTCGCCAAGTAATTGCTATTAGGAAAACGGAGCAAATCACATTAAATGAGAAAATTAACACAGGAGATGAAACTAAAATAATATCAATTATAATTTACATAAAATATCAGAAAACAGGAGCAAATTGGTTTTTGACAGTAGAATTACTTGCCCACGAATCAACCAATGAAGGAGGTTTTAAATTTATATTACTCTTATCTAGCCATGTAAAACTAATCACATCAATTATACCATAAGATAAACAGTTTAGAGTAGTATTTCAGTAGCAACTATTTGTGCATTAATCTGTTAAATATTAAAATACATATTAATTTTATTCTAATAGCTTATAAAGTATACAATTAGAATACATTAAATGTAAGATAAATTCTTATCTAATAGTTGACTTTATAAAAGGAAATATACATCATGGCATAATTTTAGTTTTGAACTTGAAAGCATATAATTGTGTGCATGTGTATGTTGGACAGTAATTATATATTTTAGAGTGGGTATTATTCAAACTGTCACAAAAAAATATATGGGGAAATGTCAATACATGAGGCAGAATAAAAAGTAACCATCCTTAAGGTAAAATATATATAAATAGAGAATAAAACAGTGGTTACCAGGGTGGCTGGGGAGGGAGGAACTAGGGAGATCAGGACATGTGCTTCATAGTGGTGAACATGAAGGATGAACATGTAGGAAGATCTAATGTGCAATGTGAGGGCCCTAGTTAATTAATCATAGCATATTCAGCATTTTTCCTGACTGGGTAGACTATTGCTATTCTTGGAGGAAATGGGAAACTATATGATATCAGGGATGTATTAATTTGTTTTACTACTATAACTATTTTGCTATACTGTACGACTGCATATATATTTTTCCTCTTATAACATTATGTTGCATACTTTAAATATACACAATAAAGTTTGCTTAACCAACAAAAAAGTAAACCCTGTCTCTAATTACTGAGCTTAATCTTCTGTGATGAATTTTTTTAAAAAAGAAACTTTAAAGAACTGTGTATTATCAGGAAATAGGTCTGGCTGGAAGAACATGAAGGCATCATTAAAAAAATGATCACTCTCTGTCCAATATTTTCTGACTATCAGTATTGACTTTAAAACACAAAGCATGTACAATGTGCTGATTAGTAGTGTTGGTTGCTCATTAATTCCCTTTAGAAAATATTTCCACCCTTAGTTTAGGGATATTTAAACACGCACATAAGAAAAACAAATTCTGTATCCGTACTGGATTGTAGAGACCATATAACATGACTCCTACTTTACAACCAAACAAGCTGAAACACAGAAATATAAAATTCTCAATCTTTAAGGTTCTATAGCTGCATCGTAGCAGAACCCTCAACTACTAACACACAGATATGGACTTTTCCCACAGTATCATAATAGCAAGGAAAGAGAGGAGAAGGGAAACTGTGTTGAATTCACAAGACCACAAAGACTGGACATTCACAATTAGCTGAATGTTAGTAGAGTAAGAATATCTGTAATAGTAATAACAAGGCTAAATACTTAATAAAAGACTTTTTTTATCATTGGGTGTATTAGAAATAAGAGCAGGGGAGGAGGTGATTTCTGCTCCTGACACACAGCACAAGAATCTCTATGACAAAGGGTAGTTCTAGTAGATGCACAGTCACTAGAATTCTGGGAATCAAGTCAGAAGAAATATTAGGAAAC